GGAGATCTTTTTTAAACATTGGAACCTAATTTAATTTTATCTCTTAGAGAGTTTATAATGAGTATAAGATTTTATAAGCATAATAATTCATCTGTAAACCTAGAAATGTACAGCCAATTTTGAAAGAGATGTACCCTAGCTCAGAAAAATGTTATTGAATAGGTTAATGCTGTTGTAATGAAATGCTTCTTTTAATTAAAAAAAAAAGTAATGACCTCCTCATATCATCTGCCCTGCAGTTCCTGCCCCCTTCCTTAGATTTCTTTACAGCACAATTTCCTGAAATAATTGTAACAAACACTGTTTCTTCCCCATCTACTTAACAAACAAACAACAACAAAAAAGCAAAACTTTGAATCAGCCTTTAGTTCTACCTAACAAAAATGCACAGATCAAGACCACTAGTAGTTTCCATGATGTCAAATGCAACGTCCAGTTCTTAGTCCATTTTACTTCCCAGCAGAAGCAACTGACAGCTGACTGCTTTCTCCTTATTACCAGTCTTCGCTTGTGACCCATAGTATCCCTTTGCTCGGTTTCCTCCTGCTTTGCTGATCAGTCCTCAGTCTCCTTTTCTCCCTGATCTTTTCATTCAACTGTAGAGTGAACTGCCATTCTTAGCTCCCCCTTCTACTGATAATTACTCTGAGATTCCATGCTCTGGCATGGCTTTAACATCCTTTGCCTCTCAAAGTGATACATTCTACACACACTGCTCTCCTGGACTGTAGCCTGTTCCCCAATTCAACTGCCTCCCAAAAGCCCCTTCCAGCATACAATGGATACTCTAAACTCACTGTGTCCTCATCTCAACTTCAGCTTTTCCACTTACTCTGCCCTAGCACCTTAAAAATCAGTCAACAAATCCTGTGGCAACTACACTCTGACAGTCTTCAGAAACAGACCCACGCTGCACCTCCTTAGCATCCCTCTGATCCAAGCCCCTAGGATGTTCGCCTTTGTTCTTTCTGTTTTGCTTCTTTCACATGCAATTTTTAACCAAGCAGATCCTTTTACGTATGCAAGTCAGATCACATCACACTCTTCATAAAATCCAGTAGCTCTCCCTTTCATTCAGAGTAATGCCTTTTATTAGCGCAAAGCACCCTGTAAACAGGTCCTTTACATCTCCAACGTCATCATTGAGAACCCTTTCCTCATCAGCTCTTTCAGCCATCCATGATTTTATCACGGTACTATGATGAAAGTGGGGGCTTTGTTCTCTCTGCCCCCTCCCAAGTACACTGATGCTTCCCTCCCCACCCGACTCCCTCCACTTCTTACAGATCTTCCTCTTGGTGAAATGTGACTGGACTACCTTCTTTAATATTGTATTTTGTACTGCCGTTCCCACTTACCTGTCTCCAGCTTTCTTTTTCTCATTTCACTTTATAATATACCATATAACAGTCTATGTATTTGCTATATACGGAATGCATGTTTTATATAATGTGCTTACAAGACATATGATATATATGTGTAAAATCTTGTGTGTGCAGATAAATAGGTAGATATAACATAGAATTCTATTAGTTGCTGACTGTCCATCTTCCTTTGTTACAAAGGTAAGCCATTCAGAGGGAGGTTTCTTGATCTTTTTATTTACTCGTCATCAAGAGAACACAATTTTTCATAGGAAAAAGAAAAAAATAACAGAATTCGATGACTGAAATGTCTTCCCTACCCTGGCATATCAGCATTTAAAAATATATATACAGGAAGAATGTTTGACCTTTTAAGCTGCAGCCAAATGATATTGGTGATATAGCAAATCACATATCCAGTTTCAAATTCTGATTAAAACCGAATTAAGTGTTCACAAGATCTTAGGCAAATTGGTTCAACTAAATTTTATTCCTATCTTTACTAGCTAACTGTATTTTTAACTTGTCTTTGACTATAATCATTTTCTCCTACCAATTAAAAGGTGAAGCAATTAGATAAATATTCTATTAATAAAAGAATAACAAATCCAAGACTACAGAAGCCCTTAGAAGCAAGGGCAGCTTGCCGTCTGGAAAGGTGTCAGGCACAATTAAGGAACATAGCTGATACAACCTGGTCTAGAAAACGAGAAGAAAATCCCAAGGCCTCAAATTAAATGTGAGTCAATGGATGCTTCAGCCATCCTGGGAAGCTAGTGACTGTCACCTGAGCCTGCTCAGGAGAAGATGGAGCCATGAGAGGGATTTCAAGTACCAATTCAAGCCAACTGGTTGTTTGATGTGTTTCAAGGAGTTAGGGGATATACTGCTGTTTAGTAAACCTCAGATTCTTTGTAAATTCAAAACAAAAATCACTCAGGCTTACTGTTTGTTAATCCATAAAAATTTGTCATCAGAAAGATTTTCGAACTGAATTATCTGTATATAATCATGTTTATTCCAAGATTAAAATCTTACCACTAAAAAAAAAAAAACAATTAATGTGTTTATAAATGGGCCAATGAACTGAAAAGGCAGTTTTCAAAAGAAGAAACACAAATGCCCAATAAATATTTTTAAAAGTGTTCAACATACTTAGCCATCAGGAAAATGCAAATTAAAGCCACTTTGAGAGTATATTTCACTGCAGAAGGGTATCAAGAAAACAAATGCTAGTGAGGATGTGGGTGGCACTGCTGGTGGGAATGTAAAGTGCAGCCACTGGCAGTGAAAATGAATGCAGTCACCATGGAAATCAGTGTGGAAAGGTCTCAAAGAACAAACAACAACAACAACAACAAAAATCCCACAGGAATAGAATGAGCATGTGACCCAGCTACACCACTCCTGGGCATATACCCAAAGGACTCAATATCCTATAGAGAGACACGGGCATACTCATGTTCATTGCTGATGGATTCACAATAGCCAGGAAATGGAATCAGCCTAGATGTCCAACAACAGATGAACAAATAATGAAAATGTGGTGCAATACATAATGGACTTATATTCAACTATAAAAAAATGCATTTATGAAATTTTCATAAAAATAGATGCATCCAGAAATTAAGTGGTATAAGTCATAATTCAAATGAGGAAAGATATATGCTGCATCTTTTCTCTCAAATGTGTATGCTAGCCTTTAATTATATATGTATGTGTATGTGTATATATACATATATATACACACACATATATGTATATATGAGGGTATAGATCATGAAACTAGAAAGGTGACCACAAGATAGGAAAAACTGGCTTTGAGGCGAAGGCGGGGAGGATAACAGAACACTTGATGTGAAAGGGCAGAAGAATGAGCAAAGAGGAGGAGAAGGGGAGGTGGGACAAAAAACATGAATGAAAACAAAAAGCAAACTATCACTTTGTAAGCTAATTAAAAATAATGTGCTGAAGCTGGTACATACTTCACCTAACAAATTACACTGTTTATTTTATAGTAAATAATAGAATGTTAAAAAGGCATGTATCAACTTCAAAAGTGCTGTTTGGTAAAGAAAACAGATTATTTCCTCTATAAAACTTCTAGGAAACTTCCTTTACAGTTAAATTTGGCAAAGATTAGGAACAAGTCTACAGTACAGTATTATTTTATAAAGTAAAACCGAAAGGGCCCAGCATGGTGGTGCATGCCTTTAATCCCAGCACTAGGGAGGTAGAGGAAGGCAAATCTCTGAGAATCCAAGGCCAGCCTGGTCTACATAGTAAGTTCCAGGCCAGCTGGGGTTGGTTACAGAGAGACCCTGTCTCAAAAAGACCAAAAAGTAAGTAAATAAATAAATAAACAAACAAATAAACAAACAAACAAATAAATAAATAAATAAATCTCAAAGAAACTCAAAAGAAATAACAAAGATCCACTGTGGGCAAATGATAACATGGCTCATGGGAACTATGGACTGTACTAATTTTGTCAAACAGGAACAGAAGTATCTTCTACTACCACCACCATTTTTTTTTTTTAAGTAGATAACCTGAACTGTCAAATCCTTAATTTTCAGAAAGATACAGCTTAAGACCTTGAAACAAAGGGTTGCCAAATACCAAGTAACTCCAAACTCTTTAAAGTTGACAACATGTTCTTAATCTCAAGTTTTGTTTTGATGCATAACATTTAGACGCTGGAATAATTCTATAAAACATAAACAAATAACCTCAAACACTTGAAAAAAGTTTGCTAAAATAAAATTGTGATATTTATTACCTCCTTCTGATAGCAGTGAAAAAAAAATCACTAGAAATTGTACTTGTGCTCTTTCCAAACAATTGGCCTTAAAAATCAGATTGGCAGGAGATAAAAATCAGTTTTAAGATCTTCAAAACACATAAAGATAGGTCTGACAATTTTTGTCCTTAGTGGTAAGAAACAGATGATTCAGTTTAAGTAAGATTTGACATTTAGCTAACAAAAATATTAATCAGAAAAATTACAGGTAGAAAATATTATTGCGTATTTTCCAGGTTCATTACTATAGTTATACGTTCAAAGTACCAAGAGCTCTCAGATCCAATAACAAATAATGAATTTGGCAAGAACTTTTTACATCACTTTTATTTGATATACACTACATGCACATGATGCAGGTAGAGAAAAAGCTTTTGAATTCATGCATAAGACAGGACAGACTGGTACTATATTGCCAAACGTGCATGAGTCAATTAGAATGTTGCTCAAAGTTCCTTATACTCAATGGTTTCCACGAAAATATGTGTAGTAGCAGAGTGTACACAGCTCCGAGCATCCTCTTCACTTAGTTTCCTGAGCTTTCTTTGCATTCTGTTTTTCTTTTGCCTAAAAATTAAAGATATCATATTAAAGCCCTCAAATCCTGTTTTAGATCATCCTAAAATAAAATGCATCTAATAGTATTCTCGAGCTCCAAGGCTTATGCACTGTTCATGTTGCTAGAGTTGTATGGTATGACTATAGTCCTAGCTACTGAGGGTGGGGATACAAGAGGATCACCTGAGCCTAGGAGTTTGAGGTTAGCCTGAGCAACACAGAAAGGACTGGTATCAAAAAATGAATGAATGAATGAATGAATGAGCAATAAATTCTGAAGTTTCAGAGCATTCTGAGATGTTGAGAGCACTACAGTTTATAACTTACGGCTTGTACCAACTTTTGTATGACTATAAAAGTTATTTACCCTCAATAAGAGAATCATTTGATTAACAGTTCTTTCTTTTTTCTTTGAGTCAGGGTCTCCCTATAACCCTAAAACCACAGCTGGTCTGGAAGTCCCTAAGCAAACTGGCCTTGATCTCACAAAGATCCACCTGCCTGTGCCTCCCAAGTGCTGGGATTAAAGGCATGCACCACCACACCCAGCTAACAGTTCTTTCTAATCTGAAGATGAAATGCATTACTAATTATAGTAACTTAAAAGTATATGCTCAATTCCATAAGGTCAAATCCATTCATGAATATTATGAAAGAACCCTATTTATCCACATCTTACTCAAACTAAAAAAAAAAATACTCTTTGCATATTGGAATAAATGAATATAAAGGTTAGGTAAGCTGTATAAAATAACACTGAAACAATACATATCTGTGATATCAGTAAGTCAAGCTTATATGACCTAAAAATGTTTTCACACATTTCATCTTCTGATCCTCAAACTACATCGTTTGAACATAGCAGATCTACTTTGTTCTTTAGTAGATGAAGAAGTGAAAGCTCACAGGCATTATCAAACTTGACCACAGTAACACAAGTAACTTTTAACGGATGCCAAACACATATGTTCTTTGGCAGTGCTTTCCAATATATGTGCCAATGACTTGAGGACACTTAAAATATAGATTGAGTAATTAAAATGCCTGAGGTTCTGCAATTCTAACAAAGCTCTCAGATGATACCAATTCTGCTGGGCTTTGAAAAACAATCAACGAATTAGAATTTTGTATTATAAAATAAAAAAAAGAATTTTCTTGGGTTAAAATAAATAGGACAACTAGAACAATTTTTTATGATGTATCAGGTAGCAATTATTTATTACACAGCAGTATGATGAAACTGAAAGCTCTATTAGAGATAATGGATGTGGCAGCACAGACCTATAATCTCAGCTACTTGGGAGGCTAAGGCAGAATGGCTAGTTCAAGGCCTCCTTGGATAAATTAGAGAGACCATGTGTCAAAATACAAAATAAAAAGACTGCTGGGGATGCAGCACAGTGATAGAGTACTTACACAGCCTGTGAGAGGCCCTAGGTTCAATCCCCAATACAAAAAAAAAAAAAAAAAAAAAAATCCAAAAAGTGAGACAAAGCACACATATCATACAATCAGGAGCAAATCATTAAAATAAAAATGTGTATACCTAAAAAACATGGGCATTTTCTAGTCCAACTACTACACAAAAACAACAAAATTAGTTGCCTATATCAACATCTTTAGTTAACAGACATCTGGAATTTAATATACCCTATCCTATACGAAGTTTCCTATTTTCTCTCATTTTGGAGTATTTGTGTGTTTTTGAGTTTTACTATGTAGCTCTGGATCCTCCTGCCACTTAGGTTTCCTAAGTGCTGGGATTACAGACACGCACCACAACCCCTGGCAAAGATTCCTATTTTCAAATGAAAATACAATTCAATTATACACATAATATTTTTTTTCTTTTATTTATTTATTTATTTATTTATTTATTGTCTTTTTGAGACAGGGTCTCCCTATAGCCCCAGTTGGTCTGGAACTCACTATGTAGTCTAGGCTGGCCTTGAACTCACAGAGATCCGCCTGCCTGTGCCTCCCGAGTGCTGGGATTAAAGGCATGCGCCACCACACCTGGCTAATTTTATACATAATTTGAAAGAAGTTTATACTTCATTCCTATTGATCTCTTAGTTTACAGACTGTTTGGTAAAATTTTAAAAATATTATTGTGATTATTGTCCTACCTTATTTCTATTAAGGTATAGAAAAAGAAGTCTTAACAGTATACTACTTATTATCAATTGAGTCATAAAATCTTGAACTTTGTGGGTAAAATTCAATATTGTGAAATTGTTTTGGATCCATACACTAATTGCATCCATGATTTTTATATTATTGTAGGTTACTAGAAAGTTTAGAAAGTTGAGACAGTTGTAATAATTCAGAATTTTACATCTAAGTTGAGATAGAATTTTAAAAGAACTATAAGTATACCTAAATAC